TATAAATATATAACACATAAAGATATAATTATCTAAGTTATATAAAAATTTAAAAAAACAGTCAGCACATAGAGAAGATACAAGATCAGTGATTACTTTTTAATAAGTCTTAAGCCATAAGAAATTGACAATTACAATCGAATGCGAGAAGAATATTTGATTGTAATTGATCAATTTCTTATGACTTAAGGCTTAAAATATTTATTGTAGATCCTTAGGACTAAGGTTTATGGCATAAGGCATAATCGCATAAACCAATCAGAGGGCTGTATTAGCATTTTAAGAAATTACTTAAGATGATCTTAAAATATGAACAGATTATGAATATATGCTCTTAGTCTTATTATATCTATTATTTTTCTAAAATATTTAAAAGAGATAAAAAAATTTTTTAACTTATGGTAAAAAAAAAAGAGTTAAAAAGTTAATGTTTAAAAGTAACTTAGTTTAGTTAAAATTTAATGCATTTAAAATTAATTAAGTTAAGTTAAAAATTATTAACTTTTTAATTTTTTTTTTAACTTTTAACGTTTTAACTAGTTACTACCCAACCTTGGTTTCAATGTCCACTGTCATTCATCTTTACAGAGACGAAAATTCCATAAGAACCTCGTGAAGAACGTCGAAGGATATACATTGGCAATTTTGCATCTTGATTAAGCATCATCATTGTCAGTGGTATTATCAGTGAATAATAGTGAGAATCAGGCGAGCATTATCGCGCCGAGCGGCGCGATGCTCGCTGTCGGTGGTATCCAAGAGGAGGCCGTCACGGCGACGAGCGGCGTCGTCGGCAAGGCCGCTGAAGAATGGACAACGAACGCGATAAGAAGAGTCACGGTTACAACTGTCAGTGCGTTCGTCGGCACGGCACGCGACGCCGACGTCGGCGTCGTCGTCGATCGCCGCTGTTCTTTTGCCGCGGTCGCCGGACAAATCGAGCGAGTCGCGCGGTGATTCGCGTGTGAGGTGAGTTCGTGGTCGCCGATTTGTTGGATGGAAGACGACGACGACGAAGGCGGCGACGACGACGCGACGCGAGATGCCTGGTATCGTGGTATTCCGACGACGCTGGAGCGTCGGCAGCGACGACCTCGTCGTGCCCGGCGTTTTTCTGTTCATCGTGCATCTCATATGGTGAGTGGAATGAAATAGAAGGATGAAAAGCAGAAGATATAAAAATATGAAACGTACTTTTTTTTTTAGCTTTAGTTTTTATCAAATAATTATACACTACTTAACAAAATTAAAATGATCAATGATAAATTGATCACCTGTTTCACTCTGCAAAAATGAGCAATACTTACAGGATAGAACAAGTGATTCTTTAATTTTGTTGAGTAATGTAAAATTACTTACACTTGAACTTTGCAATTAAAAAGACGTTTGACTTAAAAATAATCATTTAAGGCTCAGTTGCACCAACGTTATTTTGATTTTAAGCGAAACTTAAGACTTTCTTTGTTCTTGTTTTAAAGCGAAAAAGAAACAAAGAGAGAGAATGTTGGTGCAATCTGGTCTAAGAATAATAAATCTTGCTTTTAAACAATTTTATTGTTTTCTTGATAAAATTGTGAAATCTTAAAGCGTATTTAGCAGGAACGATTTTTACATAATACACGAGTTACAAAAATACGTTATTACTTATTATAAATTTAAATGTATTCAACAAATTCACTCGTACATTGTAATCGCGTTATAAATCTGTGCATAATATATCATGAATTTTTTAAAGAATTATCTTAAAAGAAAAATGTAATTCGTATGTAAATACATATCCTTATTCAAGGATTGATATGCAATTTATTTTAAAAATTTAACCTGAATTTGGAGAAATTTTTAAAGATATTTTGTCTTGTATTAGATGTACAACTTTGTTTCCGCCGTTTTTTTCCGAAATTCGAGGCTTTATTGTAAAAAACTGGTTATACATTTATGATTCAAAGTATCCATCGCCATCGCTGGCCACTACTTTCTCCCATCTTTCGGCGTACGAATCCCGCGTCGAAAAAACTGGTCATCTTTTGAGGCTATCCACGAATCGATCCAATTTTTTACTTCTTCATAAGACCGGAAGTGCTGGTCAGCCAGGCCGTGTGCCATTGATCGAAACAAGTGATAGTCAGAGGGAGCAACGTCTGGAGAATACGGCGGGTGGGATAGGACTTCCCATTTCAACGTTTCCAAGTATGTCTTGACCACTTTCGCAACATGGGGTCGAGCATTGTCATGCTGCAAAATCACTTTATCGTGTCTCTCGTATTGCGGCCGTTTGTCTTTCAATGCTCGGCTCAAACGCATCAATTGCGTTCGATATCGATCGCCTGTGATTGTTTCAGTCGATTTTAACAGTTCATAATACACTACGCCGAACTGGCGTTTGGTATCCCACCAAATACAGAGCACCCTTGGACGTCAAAATCACCGTTCTTGAAGCGTTGAAACCACTCACGACACATTCTTTCACTAATAGCGGCCTCACCATAAGTATTTGAGAGCATTCGATGAGCCTCAACCGCGTTTTCTTCATATTGAAGCAAAAAATTAAAACCTCCCGCAAATGACGAGAATTTGGCTCGTAAACTGACATTTTCAATCGAGAATAACTTTATGATGCAGACACAAATCGACTAATGTTTCTATGGGGTTATGTTGACAGATGCCCAAGTTTATTGTATGACGTCTTTGATCTATTTATTTCGAACACCACTTACCGCTAAAGCCATCTATAGGAAAACGGCGGAAGCAAAGTTGTACACCTAATATAATATTTTTCTTGTGCTTTTTTCTTTAAATTAAAATCTCATATATATAAATTGATTAGATTTACGTGAACAAATTTTATTCTTTAGAACTTTATTCAGAGAAAAAGATTAGAAAAAAATCTGATTACTTAGCCAATTAACGTTGCACACAGATCTGGATTTATGCTCTGTATAGGATATTAAATGTTATTTACTAAATTTTTGAACAATTCAATTTTATCGAAATATTAGGTGTGAGAAAAAGTTCCTGATGTTTTTCCCATTAGATGGCATTAAAAAAACGCCATGAACTTTTTCCCACACCTAATATTATTCATTTTGCTATTTCAAAGATTGATGGATGCTATGAATGTCTCATCATGGATAGCATTCTCGAGTTTGATCTATATCTATATTTGATTTTACATACATCAATTAAGAACTCTCTCACGAATTCCAGTCGATTCATTTCCGTTGCGATCTACTAATTGATTGCGCGAATATGCACCACGTATCTATGTATCGCGAACGTGCATTTAACTAGAACGGTATGACTAGCACATTCATGAATCTAAAACAGTAAGTACTTTCCTAGAATATGAATCTAAAATTTGAAATAACAGAATTTAAAATTAAAATTCCAGAATGGAAAAAACAGGCATATGCAATATATTTTCAATTTAAGGACAATTTTTCAATGTTTAAGTTAAATTTTTTTAAACCAAAGTTGTATAGAAATTGTATGAAATGATTTTATGTTTGTCTGTCTAAAATTCAGTTAGAAAAAAGCATTGTTATCGATCAATTTAATAACTGAAAGATGACTCTTTATTTTAATTTACTTTATTTAAATTTATCATTTTTCTACGTAAAAATGTATCTCTATTTTTTACAAAATACTAACTCAAAATTTATGTACGAGTCTGCTTGAATTTTTTATTTCTTCAACAATTAAATGAAAAGAATCATTTTTGATTCCTCTTTTTACTAATATTTTGTCAATATCGCGTAAAAATTTGAATCGTGAATTTGAATTACTAGTCTGTTGTGTATCGAGCGATATTTATTATAATAAGTACATGTAATAAGTAATATCGATCATATATTTATCTCATTTTAAATTCTAAGTGTACACTAAAATGGAATAAGATATAGGTTGATATTTGGCGAAAACGGGAAAGAAAGTCCTACAGTTTAGTGCAAGAATAAAAAATAGATCTATTATTAACTATAACGAGAATCGGTGGATTCATGCATAGGTATCGAGTTTTATGTATCGTAACTCTGTCCATTAGCATGCCAATGGCTTCAAGATTACTCTTGCAATCGAACGCATGATGAACGAGTGCGAAAATAATGGCACCGTATATAACCTGGGGATCATTTTCAAGAGTGCGAGTACGGCCTTGATTATTCTTGGAACGAGGTATTGGTTTGTTATTTTCAGAGTTCGTTGTGTGTAACGCATAAGTTATACAGATTCTAGTGTCTCCTTTGTCATTCGCAAATTATTATTGTTTATTAGATATATCTCCCGTATATCTCTCGTATATACATTTTTTTGAGTCAGAATGAAAATTTGTATCGCAATCGATACATACGGATAGTGTTGACTGAGTGCTTCCTCAGAAAAAGTAAAAACTACAGCTAATCATTGATAAATATCAGAACATTTCATTCTGCCTTCTCCAATAGTATTTATAAAAAAGTATTTCCAATAGTATTTACAAATAGATTGCGAGAGAGTTTTAAAAAGTAATAAACGGAGGATGATATAAAAATACTTCATATGTTGACTCTCTCTAACTGAATGGATGATATTATAATCAATATAATTCTGGAAACAACAGAATGAAAAATAACAAGTGAAAATATCTGCATTCTACCAAAAAAAAACATAAAAGATGTCTGCATTTAGGAAAATAAAGAAAGAAAGAAAGAAAATTTAAAAAATGTTTTATCGAAATTTAAATTTATTTTGTTTTATCCGTGAAATATAGAATTTTCAGATTGATGACCCGATTGATTATTTGGCTCAACGTTATTTCCGAGAGATCCGTCTTTTATTTTCTATATGTTCTCTACACATTGCAACCGATCATTGTTTTTCAAGAAAAGTCAGTCGCGCGAGAACATTTTTCCCGTATATTATTAGCGATGATAGCGATGATCAGTTCTCGCAGCCTGTTCGTGACGTGCAATGTCACCTGCAAAGTAATAAAGACACTCTCTTATTCTTCTATTCGAATATCAGCAAATTTTTTGTCGATTTGATTTCTATCGCGATCCGATCTTTTTATTATATTTCCGACAATTTTGAATGGTTCAGGTTTCACTGCAATTCGAGGAATCGCGATAAATAAATAAGCGCAACGGAGCTGAAAAAAAAGACGATCGTTTATTTTTATTTTCATTGGTCGTGTAATCGTGTTCCATTCGATAGCCAGTCGTTTCATGACCGAAATATTTAAAAGCTTCAAGAATCTATAGAGTACAACTCCAAACTCAACGAGCTCTCTGTAAACCATTTATTAAATTTTTTGGGCGATTTATTACTAATAAGTTCTCCAGTTTACTTTTACTGATTTTTGAATTATTAAACGATTCCACGCGTTCCGCATTTTTAATTCAAATTCATTTTTCAATTCAAATTGATCAATGTCTTTATCAATTATATCAATATGACAAAAAAATAATGTAACTTGTCAGATACCTTTAAAATCGACAAAATCATTCTTACTTGTACTTGTAAACAAACAGCTCTTTTTCCTTTTGTATAAAAGAAATTGTTACAAAATATTATTCCGGGATGTCATTTCTTTTACATTCGACTTTCAAATTAGTATGCACTTAACTATCCGCTACTAATTTTAAATGCAACAATTAAATGTGACAATTTAAATAAAATGTACGTTAATGAGATTGCGGGATAGAATATAACAATCAGATGAAACATATTATTTTCTCTAATACTTTAATTAAATATTTTTCTTGCGAATTTCGTATTATACAATCGCATGTGGTGTCGTTCCGCGTTTCAGCATTTCAGTGCGACCGATCAGCTGATTGGTTCGATCCAGTCCGACTCGTCCGTTCGTTCATTCAACCTTTAACGCGTCTTCTTCAGTTCATGTTTGCGCTCTTCGTCGATCGGTCGGTCGGTTAGTGCATTCACGGTTGTCTTCTTGTATGACGGCGTCGCGTCGTGTCGCATCGCGTCGTGCAGCGTAGGTTATGTCGCCGTTATCCGTCGCGACGCTACGGGATGCCGAGCCTGATCGCGTTCGGCAGACGATGGACGGTCGGCAGCGACGATCTCATATTGCCTGGCGCCGTTTTGTTTTTTGTCCACCTATTCGAGTGAGTGTCTCTTCTTATTTTTTCCATTTTTCT